TTACTGGACTTATAATTTTCATTCTCTCATCACCTGCTTTCAATAGGTGATATTACAAATAAAATATATTTTTCTACTCTGATATTACTATTATATAATGAATGTTATTATGACTATATACATTAATATTTTAATGATTGGCAGCCAAAAAATTATCCACTGTATCATGGTAAAATTTGTGTTATGTATACTCTACCAATTGTTTTCTGTGGCAATCAATGTCATTTTCACAAAAATTCTTCATTAATAATAGATCACCAAGTTGTTTCTGCTTTCATATTCCAATTGATTTGTAATCTTTATGTGAATAGAAGAGAACACATTCAGAAGGGTTTGCATCCCTGCCTGCTCTTCCTGTTTCTTGATAGTATCCTCTAGAGACCAGGGTAATAAATAATGAATCACAAACCATACATAGGTTTGTCAATCCCTTTACACATAAAAATGTATTAAAAAAAATTAATATAATTGTTGTAGTATATACCATATTAATAAAATTTAAAAATCATGTATAATTAACTCATGTCAAAGGCAGCAGTTGCAACAACAATCTGCAACTTTCCATATTGCCACTCGTTTTGTACAATTATTCTATCTGCCTTTCCTAAATCTGAATGATAATACCTAATGCCTCTATGCCACATTTTTTTAAATTATATATTTGATTTAGGATAAATGACAACAGTGGAGATATTATAACCGTTATTCCTTTTGTTTTTCAAGTTTTAATTAATGCAGGTAATTGGTAACATATACTCTTCCCACCACCAGTTGGCATCGGAACAAGAATATCATTTCCATTTAGTGTCTCATTAATTGCTTCAAGCTGGTTTTCCCTGAAGCTTTCTAATCTAAATACATCATGTAAAACCTTTTTTATCTCCCTTGACCAATTATCAGTTCATGGTGGCAATGATGAGAAATATTTAGAAATTTGTTGATTGCTAAATATAAGAAATAATGCAGGTTGCAAATGAATACCATTTTCTAAAAAACTAGAATGATGACAAGCCACCATTCTTTTAATAATAACTAGAGTGACAAGTGGTGGCAATAACCCTTATCCTTTTTCTTTTTGTTGTTGTTTTCTTAATTCTACATCTTAAAAATATTTTTAAAATTTAATTGTTAATAAATTGAACGTGTCTAATTATTTATGTATGACCCCTATTTTTTTTTTTTTGGAAAAACAATTTATTTTTTCTGTTAATAACTAACCAGAGGTAACTTTTAATTTGCATTGATATGTCTTTTATTTTATATGGGGCATGCTGCAACAAAACCAGGCAAAGTGAACATTTGTATTACCAAAGATTTCAGGGATCAAAATTTAGTAATGTGGTTATTAAAATCTTCCATTTGTTATCCTCTTAATATA